GACTTGATTTTGAAGAGCCACTTGGACGTTATCGCCGTACGCCCCTCCGGTAGCTCCACCAATTCAAACGTGTCATTCTCCTCGATGCTCTTCAGCTCAATCTCCATGGCCTTCTTCCACTCCTCAGCATCACTACTCTCCAAAGCCTCCTTGAGAGTTGCTGGTTCTCCCGGCATCTCCACCGGAGAGAAGAACGCGAAGGCACACTCCTCGTAGTCACTCTCCTCGTCGTCTCCGACCATCATTGCCGCTCCGGCCAGGGCTGTCTTGCCCTGCTTTCCCGGCGCATCATAGGTCAGCCTATTAGGGGGTTGAAATCTCCTCTTCCCCCTTCCTTCCTCCTCAGATGCAGGGACTTGAAGGCCTTGGCGTTGCTGCGGTGTGGCTCGAATCCGTGGAGCACTCGTAGTACGGGAAGGGAGTGACGGTGCACGCTCGCTCACTTGCTGCACCTCCTCCTCTTCTTCCTCTGCATCATTGGCCTCCTCTCCCCCATTCACAAGGGAGGATTGCCTCGTGGTTGTGCTGCCAATGCTCAGCTCCAAAGGCAGCTCCACATGCTCCAAACCGGAACTCTTCACCTCCCCAAACTGCACGCCTATCTTCGCCTCATTCTCCGCCTTCCAATCCTTGTACATGAAGTTCTCCATGAACTTGCAGTTCCTGCTCACCAAGAACTTCTTGGTGAATGGGTCCCAAAGAAGCCATCCCTTGCTGTTTTGAGCCATGCCCAAGTGCACGGCCCACACCGCCTTGGCACCAAGCTTGTTGTGCCGAAGATGCTTAGGCACGAGCGCCATGCACATGCACCCGAACACCCGAAGCATATCTACCTTTGGCTTCCTTCCTAGCCACTCCACATAGGGCACCCATTTGTCTGCTCCCACATGAGTCAAGGCTCTGTTCTTGGCCACACACGCGCTCCGCACCACATCAGGCCAGAAATAGTCGGGTAGCCCGGCTTCAATGAGCAACCCGCGTGCCGCCTCCGTGATTGTGCGGTTCGCTCGCTCGGCGATGCCGTTCATTGCAGGGGAGTATGGCATGGTGAGGGAGTGCCGAATACCATTCTTCTTCAGCCACAACCCAAACTCCTTGCTCAGGAACTCTCCCCCTCGATCGGTGCAGATTGACTTGACTAGACGGTCTTGTTGCCGCTCCACCATCGGGAACCAATCCATCTTCAACGTTTCAGCCACGTCGCTCTTCTTGGCCAGCACATACACCCAAGTCATGCGGGTGTAGACGTCGACAATGGTGAGAAAATACTCAGCTCCAGCAGCTCCAAGCTTCAGGGGGCCCACCACGTCCATCACCACCTCATCAAGTGGTGCCTGTGCCGTTGCCTCCGAACTAGGGAACGGAAACCGGGTGAACTTGGCTTGTATGCACGTCCGGCAGCCAAGCACCTCATCGGGCTCCCCCTTCACACGTATGCCAGCAACCATCTCATTCTTCACTAGCTGCTGCAAGATAGGCAGGGCCACATGCCCCATTCGCCGATGCAAGGTAAGCCAATCACACTCCCCCGTAGTCGAAGTCGGATTGGAGAATGCCGCGCTCGCAATAGCGCCCCACATGCTCTCTCCGTACTCCTCCGCTGCTGCCTCGGGGTTCTCCTCACCCTTGTGCTGCTCCTTGGCTGCTGCACCACACTTGTTATGATCACCGAGCTTGCTGGTCCCTCCAAGATTCCACTTCTTGGACTCCTTCTCCTTAGCGCGACCGTCCGTGCTATCGCCGTTACCAACCGCTTCATCCTTGGTGCTGATGCTTGCTGCCACTTGCCTCTCCTTTGGCATAGGGACCACTGGGATCTGCCACATCTCGTTGTAGACATCTCTGTCCTCATGAAGGTCCCAAAGAATTCGATCGCCAAGCCTTGCAGTGTAGGTCTTGGCTCCCTTCGAGTTCGTGTCCATGCCGGCCTTTGCCAACCGCCGCACGGAAATCAGGTTTGCAGCAAGGCTGGGCACCCAAAGCACGTTCTTGAGGCCCACCATCTTCCCATCAGCACCCTTGAACATGGCCTTCCCCATGCCTTTCACCTCTGCTCGCTGCCCCAAAGCCGATGTGACATGCTTCACCAGTGACGGTTCGAGTTCGGTGAGTAAGTCCGGGCGAGGTGTCATGCTATAGGTAGCGCCACTATCGATCACCCAATAGTCCAGGCGGTGTAGGGTCACCTTCCCCACAGCTGCTGGCTCCTCAAAGCCTTCGTCCTTCTCTGGACCAGCTGGTACTTGCGTCGACACGAAGTAGAATAGACCCGGGTACCGATCGTCGCTCGGGTCCTTGTCGTTATCTCCGTTCTTCATGTTTGCAGCTCCACCTCCGCGACTGCCATGGCCTCCACGGCCTCTTCCTCTCCCTCCCCCTGCTCCTCTACCCTCTTGGCCTTGAGCAGGGGTCCATCCTTCAGGGAGTTTGTAGCAATCGCGCCACATGTGTCCGGTCTTGTGGCAATAATGGCACTCGCCATCGAACCGACCGCGACCGCGTCCGTAGCTCTTGTCGTCGCTGCCGTAACCGCCACTCCCGCGGCCTCCACTGAAGTTGCTGCCACCAAACCTTCCTCCCCCTCGTCCTCTGCCTCTTCCACGGCCATATCCACGGCCGACACTCGCTGCCCCAGCGCCATCCGCACTCGCCAACTCACGGCGGCGGAAATCCTCTTGAAGGATAGCTCGCTTCACGTCTTCAAGCGAGAGGCGGGGCAAGTCGCGATTCAGGTTGATGATGAGCGAGGACCATGACTCGGGGAGTAGGGCCAACAACTTGGTCTTCTTTTGGAGCTCACTATAGTTCAAATCACCTCCCTCAAGCCGCGTCAACAAGTCGAAGAATTTCTGCACCCCTTCTTCCACGGGTTCATCTTCTTCAATTCGTAGCGTCGCCATTTGCCGTTCCAACACCACAGCTACCGCCGCTGTTGCAGGAGTGTGTACACCCTTGAGAGCAGCCCATGCCTTTGGTCCCTTCTCTGGATCACGCTGGAATGGCTTGATGTGACGGATCTGGCTGCTCCCCAACGCTTGCCCAAGTAGGAGGTAGCCTTGTGCGCTCTTCCGCACCCACGGGCTCTTCTCCGGGTCGTTCTCGGGGCGCTTCTCCGTTCCTTCCATCACCTCCAGCAGGTCATAGTGGTCAAACACGTTCTCCATTCTGAAGGACCACTCAGCAAAGTTGTCACCGTTGAACTTGTCAAGGCCAAACACTCTAGGCTCGTCCCTAGATGGGCCAACACTTGGTTGCACGGGCGCCATGGCTGAGTCACGGGGTTGGCCTTGAGCTTGGGCTTCTCCACTGCCACCAGCACCTCTGCCACCCCTTTCCTCAGGTCCAGCAATTGTCGAAACTGCTCCAAGGGGCTCTGATACCACTTGTTATAGTCACAGTAGGCTCCAATGTGCCTAAAACGGAAGATAGAGTGCACAGTCGGATTTCTGCACAGCGGCTTCAAACGTTCATAGCGTTCTAGTCACAGCTTCAAATGACTTGATTCAACTTGGATCTGGAGCGTCTTATTGTCCCCTACAATAGGCAATTTAGATCGCACGATTTCACTAAGTATTGACGACACAGCGTTAGTTTGAACGAACGGCACTATGGCAGCCACTATAGTCTTAGAACACAAGATAGGAAGAGTTAGGAAGAGTTACGAGTTGGGAATGACTCCCAGCTCCTACAAACCCCAAGAGCCGAGGTACAGTGACGTGGAACAGTGTCACACTGTCCCCAACCACGAAGGGTCTCGAAACTACCCTTCACTAGGGCCTACACCAACTGAAATGTTACACTACACAAAGTAATGTAACTATCTTCAATCTCTTGAGGTGTACCCTTTTGGTGAGCTTCGCGATCACTTGAATGTTGACACCAGGGGCTCGGGTTCCATCCTTGAGTTCTTGATGGGTCTGCTGCACACACCTGCGACACGCCGAACGTTCGACAAGCGACAAAATAGAAACCGCGCACGACAAAATAGAAACCACGCGGGACACACAAAACGACCACGTTACACGCGACTAGCGATAATTCGCTATTGACTTGACACACACACTCGACATCATGACCCATCATTCACACACTATTATAAGCATGAAATATATATTTATTTCATGCACTCATTCCATTCCATGCACACACGCATCCACGCACACGGACAACAAGCCGAGTGCAAACCGTAGGGTTGCACCAACACGGCTCACACACACGGCACCCCCATACTCTCCACCCCCAAACCCTAACACAGGAGCGCGGTCAGGAGCTCGGGGGACGGCGTGCGGCACTTGGGCAGACGGTACGGGCCGCTCACGGGCCTGGCGCAGGCCGGACGAACCGCGCGCTGGCTGCCTGAGCCGCGCGTGGGCCTGGCGCAGCCCGTACGGGCCGCGCGCGGGCCTGGCGCAGCCCGTACGAGCCGCGCGCGGGCCTGGCGCAGGCCGTACGGGCCGCGCGCGGGCTGTACGGGCCGCGCGCGGGCCGCTACGGGCGACGGGGGGCGACGCGCGGGTCCCCGGGGGCGCTGCGACGGGCGACGGGGGGCGACGCGCGGATCGACGGGGCAGAAAACCGCCGCGCGCCCCGAGCGCGCGGCGGGATGAAAAATACGCTGTGCACTCGAGCGCGCGGCAAGCAGAACACGTCACACGCCCGGGGCGCGTGATAGGCAGGACAACAGCGGAAGCATTAGGTGGCGGGCCCATCCACAGGATCGACCCAGGAGGGTCAACCTGCTCTGATAGCATGTCGAAACAGCAGGCGAAAACAACAAATAGGAAAGAGGGGTTTTCACTAGCAACAGTTGAGATACATATAGGAAACCCTAATTGGGTTGTACTCACTATAGAGTACCCCACTGTAGGCTAGACAAACATCGACATTCTGACAACTCTCATATTGTGTAGGGTGCTAACCGGCCTGTGTACGTGCTGTATATGATATTGCAGGCCCTGGCGGATATGTTTCGGCACAAGCACAACGCGCCTGGCTTCAGAATGGGACCGTCGAGAGACAAGGACAGCGAGAGTGGGCATCGGGCATATTCCACTGCAGAAATCGGCACATGGTGGCAAGAAGCTCAGGTGAGTGCTATTGATAGCTATTTGCAGTTGCGAGAGATGGTGAGCAATAAGAGGGGAGGTGCAGAGATGGTGAGTGATGTGAGGGGAGGTGATGAGATTGTGAGTGCTGTGAGGGGAGGTGCAGCGATGGGGAGTGCTGTGAGGGGAGGTATTGAGATTCACTATTGCTGTGAGGGGAGGTGCAGAGATGGTGAGTGCTGTGAGGGGAGGTGCAAAGATTCTGAGTGATGGGATGGGAGGTGCAAAGATTGTGAGTGCAAGGTGATGAGTAGTTTACACTCCCCTCATATCACTCGCACCTTGCATATGTTCCACACCTTCCACTCACCATGCATGGTCCCGGCTTTCAGCTGGTGTGCCCTTTTCGAGTCAGCAATGTGTACCGCTTAGGGTCATTGCCTTTACTCTCGACCCAATCAATCCATTATTTGCATTATGTGCAGGAATTCATTGGCATGGACAAGATTGTTGCGGCGCTGATGCTGTACAGTGACGTCACGCACTTGAGCAACAACGGAAGGAAGAAGGCGCACCCGGTCGTGATGACACTGGGGAATATTGCATTCCCCAAACGCTGGGGGCGGCCTGGGCACTCCCTGCTGTCGCTGTTACCCATCCCACCCTCGAATATGCCGTCGCACTTGAAGGTGGAGCTCTACAACGCATGTATTTATTGCTAAGCTACTTGAGCCGCTGCTCCGCCTTAAAGACAAGTGAGTGGTGCAATTGCTGGTGTTTTTTTTACGATTTTGTCTATTTGGTGAGTCAAGCCCTCAAAAGCAGTGCGGCTCTTGGAAGTAATGAATATTGTTAACCAGCATGTATTTTCACCCTGATCCATGGCTGCCCGAAACTTGTGCAGTGGTGTCATGCTGCTGGACTCAGAAGGCATCGAGCGATGGGTCATTCCATTGCTGTACGCATGGGCTTGCGACTATCCAGAGTCCGGGAAACTGACATGCACCAAATCTGGCCAGGGCTGCATGAAGCCGTGCAGCCTATGCTACGTCGACAGGGTATGTAAACACGTAACACTGGATCATGAGGTGCTGGGATGGGAGGTGAGTGTTGCGACGGTGTGGTGCTGGGATGGGAGGTGAGTGCTGGGATGGGAGGTGAGTGTTGCGACGGTGTGGTGCTGGGATGGGAGGTGAGTGCTGGGATGGTGAGTGGTGGGATGGTGAGTGCTGGGATGGTGAGTGGTGGGATGGTGAGTGCTGGGATGGTGAGTGCTGGGATGGTTAGTGCTGGGATGGTGAGTGCTAGGATGGTGAGTGCTGGGATGGTGAGTGCTGGGATGGTGAGTGCTGGGATGGTGAGTGCTGGGATGGTGAGTGCTAGGATGGCGAGTGCTGGGATGGTGAGTGCTGGGATGGTGAGTGCTGGGATGGTGAGTGCTGGGATGGTGAGTGCTGGGATGGTGAGTGCTGGGATGGTGAGTGCTGGGATGGTGAGTGCTGGGATGGTGAGTGCTGGGATGGTGAGTGCTGGGATGGTGAGTGCTGGCATGGTGAGTGCTGGGATGGTGAGTGCTGGGATGGTGAGTGCTGGGATGGTGAGTGCTGGGATGGTGAGTGCTGGGATGGTGAGTGGTGGGATGGTGAGTGCTGGGATGGTGAGTGCTGGGATGGTGAGTGGTGGGATGGTGAGTGGTGGGATGGTGAGTGCTGGGATGGTGAGTGGTGGGATGGTGAGTAGTGGTGAGTGCAGGGATGGTGAGTGCTGGGATGGGATGTGAGTGCAGGGATGGTGAGTGGTGCGATGGGAAGGGAGGTGATGGGATGTGGAGGGAAGTCATGTGGATGAGGAGTGCAAGCCCCATGATATGTCGTCAAGGCATGTAATCATGCCCCAACCCTAAACAAGGCTGTGTGCGTTTTATATCTGAGTATGTATGTGACTTATGGTCTTTCTTGCTCGTCCCCTTTGTGCTTTGAATACCGCCGCCCACCACAGGAAAGCCTGTCATCAGTGGGGCTACCCAACAACGTTCGCACACCCGCACAACAGCAGTGGGTTAGAGACGAGGCAGCTGGAGTCGCTGCCGGAGCGAATGACAATCCGCTAAAGTTGTACTCCACGTTCAATATCGACGTATGTATTCGATCGAAAGCCAGCTAGGGTCCCTCTGCGTCACATGGATACTGCAACCTCTGGTGTCTAACGCAGTCTAGTGTCTCCTGCACCTTTTGTATTCCCGGATGTACCACCTGCACAGTGTGCTTCATGGAAGTGGCAGGTTGGTTCGTCGCCGTGGGGAAATCCCTTTCTAGCTGTCATGGCGGACATCATGCACCAGGCAGACCTGGGGATGCTCGACCACGTTGTGCGATGCATCCGCACCCAACACCCAAGGATGATGAAGATTCTGGATTTGTGAGTGCCTCTTGGCTCACCCCGCTGGAAATGCACGATGCTCTATTCGATGAGCCATGGTGAATCTTTACCACCTCAAGCACACACTTGTTTGCATACCCCCGTATCCAAATGGTAGTCCGTCATGCAATTTGTTTTCTGTCGAAATCCAATGCCGCCTACATCCAAATCTGGTCATCCCACTGTATGCAGGCGTCTTCTAAGGCTAACCCTGAAAACACGTATCAACTCTCTGCGATTCCCAAAGAGCGAGTACTTTAAAACCGGGGCACAAGTTGCAGCTTTTGAACACCGATCCGACATGCAGGTATGATACTTTGAGGCTCATATCTTAGAGAGGGGGAAGGGGGAGGGTGGGAAGAGTGGGGCGAGCTAGGCAGGGAGGGAAGCTGAAGGGGAGCGGAGTTGGGTTGGTGGTCTGGATGTTTGTGTGCTGGTTCGTGCGGCTATAGCACTGTGTTGGTTCGTTGACTTGCTCGACTGAAAACCAGCCAATAAACCGTCATGCCAATAATATCGTTTCTGATTTTTATGTGGTGGCCTCTCTCTCAGTTGTCCTACACATGGTACTGCATGCCTCCAGGTGTTGATATTTTTGGTGGCTGACGTTGTCGGCTCGCCCCAGCTGGAGGCAATCAGAGCATACCTTGACTGGTATCTCTGCTGCAATGCCGCCACTCACACGGAGAGAAGTCTCACCGAACTACAAGCCAAATCAGCAAGGTAACTCACAAACAAAACTCCCTAGAACGTCTCACTGCCTATGCGATTCGTAGAGGTTCCAGGCACGCTTTTCCTTATACTGTTCTCGTAAAGGTTCCAAGAAGACCTTTCCTTATACTGCACTCATCATTCATGCTCCCACACCATTCCAAGCTGGTGGAACTCCTCACGGCTGCCTTCTGCGAGCAGAAATCAAGGTGGAACCTCATCAAAACACACTTGATGACACATTTCATCCCTGGAATTCGACGAGCTGGGAATGTGCAAGAGTACAGCACCAACCTCTTCAAACACCTGCATAGCACGCTGCTGAAGCAGATATATAGGAGATCGAATAAGCGGAAAGTGGACACGCAGATCATGAAACACCACGAGATGAAGCTAGACTCCATCAGCAACGTGCCCAGCGACAGCGTACAAATGGCTATGCATAAGGTATGGCGAGCCACAGAATGTGCTGCTAAAACAGAAGGTGTTGTGAGGGAAGGTGCTGGGGGAGTTAGTGCTGTGATGGGAGGTGCATAGATGGTCAGTGATGTGAGGGGAGGTGCTGGGATGGTGAGTGCTGTGAGGGGAGGTGCAGAGATGGTGAGTGATGTGAGGGGAGGTGCAGAGATGGTGACTGGTGTGAGGGGAGGTGCAGAGATGGTGAGTGATGTGAGGGGAGGTGCAGAGATGGTGACTGGTTTGAGGGGAGGTGCGGAGATGGTGAGTGATGTGAGGGGATGTGCTGAGATTGTGAGTGCTGTGAGGGGAGGTGCAGAGATGGTGAGTGCTGTGAGGGGAGGTGCAGAGATGGTGAGTGATGTGAGGGGATGTGCTGAGTTGGTGAGTGATGCGAGGGGATGTGCTGAGATTGTGAGTGCTGTGAGGGGAGGTGCAGAGATTGTGAGTGCTGTGAGGGGAGGTGCAGAGATTGTGAGTGCTGTGAGGGGAGGTGCAGAGATTGTGAGTGCTGTGAGGGGAGGTGCAGAGATGGTGAGTGATGTGAGGGGAGGTGCAGAGATTGTAAGTGCTGTGAGGGGAGGTGCAGAGATGGTGAGAGCTGTGAGGGGAGGTGCAGAGATGGTGAGTGCTGTGAGGGGAGGTGCAGAGATGGTGAGTTCTGTGAGGGGAGGTGCAGAGATGGTGAGTGCTGTGAGGGGAGGTGCAGAGATGGTGAGTGATGTGAGAAGGAGTTCCTGGCGGGGAGGGCTTAGAGGGGAGGTGCTGGGGGCGGGGCAGCTCGAGTTGGGTGGCAAGGAATGTTTGCCGGGAATTCATAAGGGGGTAGCAGGGGAAGAGTTAGCGCATGGCACGGGAGGGAGCAACAAAAGGGGGAGTGCAACGCAGGGAGCGAAGCAAGGCAAAGGGGAGGATAGGTTGCTCGTTACTGCTGGTTGATGCGATTCTGATTCTTTTTGCCATTCTCTGTGTTTTTTGGCCCGTGTCAGGCAATCGAGGATGGAGCTCGGGTGATGGTGAAGGAGTCCTACTTCTTCCAAGTGAAACCCGCTGATGTCACTCCCATTGCCAACTGGTTTGTCCATGAGTGGGCGAAGGACCACAGCGAGGCACACCATGCCTTTGAGGGTGCGTTGCTTCGACGCCAGCTGAGGCCAACGAAAGTTCGTGTAAGCTGTGAAGATGTCGACATCAAGCAAATAACATATGCAAATGAAGGTTACTTTGTACTGATTCATGTGTCTTACTTGTTGCAAGCTCACACAACACTTGAGATCCTTGCTGCAGAAGATGCTAGTTCTTTCTGTGTAGCACACTTCGTGAAAGCAACCCCGCTGTCCCACTCCAGGCCATGGTTCTCTAACGTTGCCATCATGGGAACAACGGCGACGGGTGCAGAGACGGAGTGGTACGGAAGGCTCTTGTTGTTGTTCCATACGAAAGAGAGAGGGTGCACGAGGGAGTTGGCATACGTTAAGTACTGGTCTAGCGCAGGCGAGGATGCAAAAACAGGGTGCAAACGTCTTAGGTGGGCAACCGAGGTATCTCGATACTCACTGATTGACACGGAAAGCATACTGCGCCAGGTGCACATTATTAAGTCTTACCACAGCGACAACGCATTCTATCTTAACAAGTATCTGCTAAATTAGAAATACTTTATCAATGCTTGTGATTATCAGTACGATTTCATAAAAACAGAGTAGTTCCGTATTTAAACCCTAGGTTACAGGCAATGACGATATGTGATTTTGCAGGATATAAATGAACTTGCGCATGTGATTGTTTAACCAACAACTTGTCAATGTTATTGGAGCTAATTATGTAATTATGTAATATGAATCTACACACATAACAATACTGTAGGCTCATCTTGGTCTAAAATTACTCCTAGTCAGGCCCCCGAACACATTTTATCGCCACGTCTTGTCGTGCGCCAAGCAAGGCTGTGGTTCAATGATCCAGGATAGGTTCGCGGGAAACCAACGCTCCCATCTCGAAACTGCTTTTTCAACCTGGTCAAAACGAGCACTGTACACCTGACATTGGCCCAAAACAGGGCCAATTTCGTTTCGCCGAGGCGCACACTGACTCTCGAGTCGGATCGGATGCGCGAAACCAAATCGAAATTGGAGAATTACACATTTTCGCTGGTGGTTGGGCGAAAACAGTTGGACAACCCACGCAACCCAGCTTTCGAAATGAATTTGACCCGTTTCCAAGCGATTAAAAAACGAGGGGTTTTTGTGATGGAGGGGAGAGAGGAAGGGCGACGGGAAGGCATTTCGGGGCGAGCGCGAAGGCGCCGAGGTGGGTGATGGGGTGGGAGAGGTGAAGGGCGATGGAAGAGAGGATGAGCGATGTGAGAGAAGAAGAGCGACGGGAGAGATGAAGGGCGACGGGAGAGAAAGGGCGACGGGAGAGAGAAAGGGCGACGGGAGAGAGGATAGGCGAAGGGAGAGAAGATAAGCGACAGGAGAGAGGAGGGGCGACGGGAGAGAAAGGGCGACGGGAGGGAAGGAAGGGCGATGGGAGAGAGAAAGGGCGACGTGAGAGAAAGGCGGCGTCGGTAGGAAGGAAGGCCATCAAAAAAATGTCGACCTTAAGGATGGCAATTTAAAGCCATAATCGCCCTCTGTATGGCTGGTTTATGGCCCGAAACTGGCGGGCTGTATACAGGTAGGTTCGTAGGCATCTAGGGTCCATAAGTTCCCCGCCTGTGTATCGCGCGGAATGGCTGTTTACGCCAATATTCAGGTACACCACACTGCTTGTTCATGGCTGTATATGGCATGCGAATTTCTAGTAACTGGCCCACATTTTATCGATTGTTATAGGCGTGCAATAAATGTTGACTGCTATTTGGGACCTAGAAGCTCTAAGCACACCTTTAATTAGCGCAAGATAGTCCTCACGGGGTCACCTCCAAGGGTCCTTGGGTGCCTGGTAGAACCAGCCCCTATCCAAGGGTCCGTGTTTGTTGAAGGACTTTTCAAGCGTGAAAGCAATCGTGTGCACTAGAGCACTCCCAAGCACAATTGCGGAAGCAATAACGACTGATTGGCTCGTATGCAGAAATTTCTCCTCGCGTCAATACGTCGATTGAGAAAACGTTCACTCCAAAAAGTTGTTTACAATGAAACACAAGCGCACATTTATAGAACTACAAATGGACGAGCAAAGCAAACACAAGACAAACATTAAACAGTTATAAATCTGTAATCTAGGACTTCGCCATGTTGTCTTGGTAAAACGGTTGTCAAACTTGAGCTCCATTTGGCTCGATCCGCTTCCTTGGAATAACTGATTTCAAATGACACTTCATCCAAATGCCCCTGCTGACTCCCCACGCGAGCACTCATGAATTCCCGTTATTTTTCATGAAGCCTCGTGTGGGAAAACCGTTTTCCCGTTGCAAAACGGAAATTACCGTTTTGTACCTTGTCGAAATGATCACGCAAAGTCGCGTGACTTTCTGGCGAAAGTTTTGTTTGCCAAGTCACAAAAGTCAAAGCTCGAGATTCAGTTATTCAACTGAAATCTCGAGTCAATCCCGAGCACCCTTCGGGATTCCTCGGCACCCCCCGAAACCCACGCGCGACCCTCCACGCGCGTAATCATGCACGACTGAATTTTCGGTCGTGCTGTACAGCGCACGAACGTGCACTGTTCTTCTCGAGGGCAGGGCAATCATTTGCCCTATCCTTTTGCGGACGTGCGCACTGTGCACGCTCGCCACAGTGCGAGGCACACGCATGAGGCCTGAGGGGCCACACGCGCGTGTCAGGACCCCACGCGCGGGCTCTGACCTTCGCGCTTGGTTGACCTTGACCAGCACGAAAAAGTCAAAGTCACAAAACACTCGCCACACTCGAAAAACTCACGAAAATATGAACTCTCATGAACTCTAATGAAAACTCACAAAAACACATGAGAAATCATGATTGCACGTGCAGACTCATGAGCAATCGCGAAGTTCCGCGAACTTACCGAAACTCACGAGAACTCATGCGCTCTCATGGAAACTCATGAACATTCATGAACATTCATGAAATGCACCCACACACAAAAATGCATGTATCTTATGAACCGCTAAGGCGATTCACAAACCGTAAACGCACAAATGTAAAGCACGCAAAGGCGCTCCTCACACTTAACAAATTACCTTAAAACAGAAACTCTCATTTTCCTTTATCTTCGGCGAATAGGCGGTAGGTTGACGTGCAAACCACATTTTGCACTCAACAATAAACGCCTGCTTATTGGAGTTACACAAACCATGCCATTATTCAAGTCTGTCATAAATGGTGTTACATTGCCCCAAACTATACTTTCATGGACAAGTTGAATATCCTTATGTAAAGAGCCAGAGTTTATTCACATACCTATTCATTTACCACCCATCTAGTAAACATTGCCAAAATTAGTGGTTATATTTCTCAAAACACAGTTATATTAAATGGCATACCTAGGGTCAGAACTCTACCTATCCTACAGAGCTACCTTGCGGAAGCTCTATCACCCTACACAAGTCCTTCAAATGCAAACTCAAATCCTTCAATGAGGATTTTCACAGCTCCACTGCCCATAAAAAACCCCGCAGGAGCTTCATCAGTGTAAACGGCTTCACCTGCTTCGAGCCGTGCCTTGATCCAGGAGATGACGACAAGAACCTTTGCAGCCACGACGGCCCTGTTATTCTCATCAGAGGCATCAAGGGAGGGGTTGGCACGGCCATTGTGGTTTGCCATAGGCCACTCCACCTGCAGGAAACCACACAGGCATGAGTGCGTATCTAATATGTTATGAAAACAAAATGACTAACATGAAAGAGAAAATGGACTTACCACATGGCAAATAGTTGCCACAGCAGGGATCTTGTCGTTGAACCGGTTGCAGCGCTTGCCGCCAAGTCCTCTGCAGATGGCAAGCTTGAAAGATCGGTTGGCAAAAGGGCGAACAGATCCGTCACAGTGCCAATTCGAACCATACACAGCTGCCAGGATTAAAAAGGACGGGAGTTATAGACTATACGGGGTGAAAAGTTGTTGCTAGTAATCGCTACAAGAAAAACCCACCATCCCGAAAGTAGGCATGCCACTCTGAAGCCGTGCGGCGATGCGATGGCGCAATGTTCTCAGACGCGAGCATCGCCACTTTGTTCTCGCTGATGAAGCCACCAGGGCCATGCGCGTAGGGCTTGGCCACCGCATAGATGTTGCAATGGCGCTCCGACATCTTCTGCAACATGATGCACTCGCGCTCGGGATTCTCCCCCATCACCCGGTTGAACATGTCAAGAGGCACCCCGACGTCCTCGTAAAGCTCCTGCACTTTGCGCCTAAGCTATGCCTGGGAGGGGTAAAATGACTGCTCTCTCGCTGGAGCGCCCGCTATGAAATAGTTGACCGCGTCGTTGCATTTTTGCTGCACATCACGACGACAACGGAGAATAGTCAGCTGTTAGGATAAACACAAGTCAGTATGTCAACAAGAGAAACAAAGACAACCGGACTAACATGAATCAATGATTCGGATACAAAGCACACTAACCTTGAAAAGCGATAAGTCCAGGAGCACCGGGGGGATGCCGCACCCTCCCGCACGACTGGAGCCGTCGATGGCCCAGGCGCGTTGGTGGTCGCCAGAGGGCTGCTGCGCTGCGCTGTTGCGTGCAGCAAACCAGCACCATCTCCGGTACTCTGGCTGTTGGAAGATGATGGGCCGGGGCTACCTCCCGTTGGTGGGGCAGGCGGCTGGCGGGCAGCAACGACTGCTCGCATTCGTGCAGCCTCCTGTTCCTGCTCTTCCAGCTGCTGACGGAGGGCTGCGAGTGTGTCGGCCTGTTGCGCAATCGTCCGCTCCATGTCGCGGTTCTGTGCCACCTGCTCATTAACCGGAATCGGTCGAGTTGCATGGAAAAAAAAAAATGTAGGTTTGTAGGATGCCTGGACAAAAATATGTGGCACAAACGTTAATTTGCACAAACATAGAAACCGGGCAGAACTCACTAACCTGGTTGCTTCGGCTTTTTCCCACGTGCTGACGTGTGAGCTCCTGGGTCACCGCCCATAAGGCCAGCGACATCGGCGCTGCGCCTTCGACTCTCAGGACGGTCATCCTCGGCCGGATCGTCCTGAGGCAGTGCAATGGGAGTTTCAGCTAACTCGCACTTGTCGGGATGTCCCTCACCCTCGTCCTGCTCCTCACCCTCGTCAGGACCTTCGCCCTCGTCGATTAGAGCGTTAAGTTTGTTTTCCTCTGGATCGATTTCAGGCTGAGAGGTATTGGCGGCAACATCTGCAGTTGCGGGATTTTTGTTCAACTCCTCCTCGGCGGCTGTTTCTGCAATGTGTTCTTCGGGAAGTGACTGGTGTGCAGTGCTGGCTTCCTGTCGCTGCAATTCCGCATTCAGCCTGTCCCTCAGCGCAGCAAGGTCTTCACGTGACATTTCCTGCAGCTCAGGGTCGCGAGGAATTTCTTTGTTACCAGCACCCTGACGAATGCTGGACCCCCCAGATTTCTGCGTTGGTGGCTTGAAACCAGTAGTGTTGTGACCATTCAGGCGAATTGAAGTCGTGAGGTGGCGTTGAGGGCGACTAGGACATTGAGCCTGATTGACGCGCGCCTAGGATAGGGCACCAGTGGCAGCGAGCTGGTTGGCCATGCTGAGCGTGCGGGAACGGTTGGGGGGGTTGGTTGGAAAACTGTGTGCGACAATTGATCCGTCGCACAAGCAGTCATATATGCCGATTCAACACAACTAACGAACCGATTTCATTGGTTGTTCAAACCATGAAGCGATCATGCGTTGGAGAATCGTGCGAGTCGCAGACAAGTGCGAGTCGCAGGCTGTACCGCGAACCACATGTCGGATTCTTGGTGCAGGGTGGCGAATGTCTCGGCGCCGCGGACCATCGAACATTATACACAAATGCACCGAGCTGCAAAGAGAATCTATTTTGTGGTTACAGAGACAGTTTTGAAGGGTACCGCCACGTGGTGTATCATCACACTCACAAAAAGCTGCCTTCAACACTATCAAGATAGCGCCGCCGCTGCACATAGTTGCGCACGGATGATCTAGATTCCTTGCTGTTGTGTAGAATGAACCGTGTTTTGGTGCCTTTTCATTCTCTCACGGATAGTATATGCATGGTTTGTGATCTGCACTACAATATGGAAGTTTTTTTGTAAGGGAAATGGCTTAACAAAACTATAACATGATTTATCATGTTGTGTGTTACCGTACAAACTATGGGAGCATGTATTGTATATGACCGATCAAATATGTACAAACATATCATATGACAGTTCAAAATATAAATTGGTTCAACAACCACAAAGGTTCACTAGATTGAGGCTGAACAAGGTGAACGACATGCAGTATACTCGTGGTCTCCACCACCCGGTATTTCTGATTCATTGTAGCCCACTTGAGCTGCTTGCAACGGGTCTTCTCGTCGGGGTCTGGAAGTTCGTCGTAGTACTTGATAAACGCATAGTCGCAACGATCCCTCCCATGCCCAATGTGAAACACGAGGAGTACTTTCGCGTACCACTCACCGGAGCCATGAATGGCTACATCCAGCCACGTCCGTGAAACACCGGCACGGCACGTATCCGATGTGGAACGGCTCTAAACGATGGGTGCGTAGCAAGAGGCATGGCCAACTCATTGTGCACATGAATGGTAGTTGCGTTCTTTGTGGCCTCTGAGAATCGGTTAAGGGCTTGCCTTAGGTGTCGGAGGTCGTCGCTCAATGCAGTGACGTATCTCTCGTCACGCACCTTGGAGGGAATTGGGAAACTTACAAACGGTGCCTCACGACGGCCTCCAAAGACAGTCAAAGGCCATTCCGACCGAGACATGATGCGGCTGCCAGTGGCCATTGCCTGTGCATTGAAACGATAGGCGTTTAGTGATGGCGCAAGCAATTGTTGAGATTTGCATCAAATTGCCTTGACTCACCTCGCCCATAGCGGTGTTGTAATGCGTCTCTGTCACTTCAGATGCACCAAGAGAATCCACCGCAAGTCTGGTCTCCTCTGCTCGTACAAGTTGCCCTGATACGTCACGCTTGTTGGACGCACGATACGGCCGTTTTATGTGGTCCTTGTGGAAGAACTCGGAAATGTTGGCATCATAGTGTATGGGTGGGCCCGCACGACGGATAGCTTTGACGTAATGACTTATCAAGTGCATCTTGATGAATCTCCATTTTGAAGTTTGCTTAAACGCGGTTGTTAGTTGATCGATCATCCTGCATATAGGGGAGAGCACAAACATGCGTTAAGGACCCGAGAATAACAACGTTTGTTCCAAACATGTAAGTTTTCTTACCTCACGGCTAGCTCCTGCAACTGTTTCAGAGTGTTGTCGTCGTATGTTGTCGCCTTTGCGCACTCCGAGCACCAACAGAGGTACGAAATGATAGCTTCCATTTGCGGTTGCGCGATGTGCGAGGAGATGAGAAATGGCAGAAGTTGCATCACTGAACGATGCTCATACGCTTGGTAGGAAGCACCTAGCTTGAAGTATTGCCCAGACGGCAACCGTATGAATCCCACATACAAATGTGTTTGAGGTATTTGAGCCACCTGAGAACATGGAAAGAACAACAAAGTAGTGAGAAAATAATTAGTATGTGGAGGGTTACATATGAGCAAACACTGCCAACATTGCAATAGTTCATACCTATCGATTGCTTCACGTGTTGATTTGGGGATGATGTCACGCAAGGCTGTGAGGATATGATCGAGAATGCCCAAGTCCGCTTGGTGCATGAGGTCCGGCATGACTGCTAGGTGTGGGTTCCCCCATTGTTCCGACTCAAACCTCCACCCCCAGAGTGCGCTCTGCATGGAAAAGCGATGTCAAATATAAGGAAACGGAGGTAAGGAAAGGTGAAACATATGATAAAACCAACTTAGACACCATGAACAACTGACCTCGACAGGATGGGTTGAAAGGTCTTCCACTGCTGCCCCCCCGCGTCGTCTTGGTGCTTTTAGGGCTGCGCAAATGTCTTGTTGCTGCTGGACGGTGCGCCATTTTAAGTGTGTCTGGTATTCAGCCAGGTCATCTTTGTGGACGGTGCAGAGTGAGCAGGGTTAAGTTGTACCCAGCAACTTTGTACAAGTTACTTTACATGTCTCTGGGTAGTCCGCGATGTAAGCATACAACGCTGGGTATGCGGCGAATGAATGGCCTGATGCGTCTTCCACCCGAGCGCCCCTGTTTAGAACACGTGCAAAAGGAAAGCAAAAAGGTTAGTAAATACTGTAGCAAAATCCATGCACTCACAAATGTGGTTGGGCTAACAATACCAATGAACTTGAACTTACACATGACTTACGGCCTTGAGGGGTTGTAACGCCTTGCCAAGAACCTTATGGAATACTTGTAGACAGTCAAGCGAGGTGTACTCCGGAGGAAACTCCGGAAGCAATGCAATCATCGCATGACCGTGTGGTTTCCAACAGTCCTCGCGTGCGATGTTGGCCAGCGACATGTATATGGGATGTCCTTTGGACTTCCCTCTTCGAGTCCATCATCGTTTCGTCCGAGGCGAGAATGATGGTTGCTACAACATCATCCGGTCCAAGCTTATCCTGATTGGAAAAACGGTGAGTTGTAGAATGGTGGAAGCGGGAAATAACAAATATAAGGCGAGCAAATGTATTACACATCGCCATGCCCCAACCAACAACCTGCAACGTACCTGGACGTTGTTCCAAAAATCTGCCATCTCGGGTGCATCGTAGACACAAACGCCATTCACAATCTTCCAATGGGCTCTTGTGACGAGTCCTCGAGCGTTTCGGGAATCGCTCAAGAGGGACTTCATGGCCTGGTTGTCGAGGGCACAGAAGTGCAAGTGAGGGGCAGGCCAGGGTAATGAGGGGTGGGGGGGGAGAGAATGAGGAGCAGGAAAGGATGATGAGAGGCCAATACAGAGAATGAGGAGCAGGGAGGGAGAATGAGGGGTGGGGAAAGAGAATGACTGGCAGGGAAGGAGAATGATGGGTGGGGAAAGAGAATGAGGGGCAGGGAGGGAGAATGTGGGGTGGGGAAAGAGAATAAGTGAAAGGGGAGGGATAATGAGGGGTGGGGACAGAGAATGAGCGGCAAGAAGGGAGAAATTGGGGTGAGGAGAGAGAATAGAGGGGCAGGGAGAGAGAGTGAGGCGCAAGCACCAAGAATAACGGGCAGGGAGGGAGAATGAGGGGTGGGGGAAAGGGGATGAGGAGCATGGAGGGATGATGACAGGCAAACAATGAGAATGAGGGACAGGGAGGGATAGAGAGGGGTGGGGGAAAGAGAATGAGGTGCAGGGATGGATGATGAGGTGCAAAAAATGAGAATGAGGGGCAGGTGTTATAGTCACAGTAGGCTTCAATGTGCCTAAAACGAAAGATAGAGTGCACAGTCGGATTTCTGCACAGCGGCTTTAACGAACGGCACTATGGCAGCCACTATTGTCATAGAAACACAAGATAGGAAGAGTTAGCAAGAGTTACCAGTTGGGAATGACTCCCAGCTCCTACAAACCCCAAGAGCCGAGGTACAGTGATGTGGAACAGTGCCACACTGTCCCCAGCCAAGAAGGGTCTCGAAACTACCCTCCTCAAGGGCCTACACCAATAGAAATGTTACACTACACATTGTAATGTAAATATCTTCAATATCTTGAAGTGTACCCTTTTGGCGAGCTTCGAAATCACTTGAAGCTTGAAACCAAGGCTCGGATTTTTCATCACGGACTCATCCTTGAGTTCTTGATAGGTCTGCTGCATACACCTGCGACACACCGAACGTTCGACAAGCGACAAAAAGAAACCGCGCACGACAAAATAGAAACCGCGCGGGACACACAAATTGACCGTGTAATACGTGGCTAGCGATGACTCGCTATTGACTCGACACACACACACTTGACATCATGACCCATCATACACACACCATTATAAGCATGAAATATATATTTATTTCATGCACTCATTCCATTCCATGCACACATGCATGCACGCACACGGACAACAAGCCGAGTGCAAACCGTAGGGTTGCACCAACAGCAGGGAGGGAGAATGAGGGGTGGGAGAAAGGGATTGAGGTGCAGGGATGGATGATGAGGCGCGAACTCTGAGAATGAAAGGCAGGGGGGGAGAATGAGGGGTGGGGGAAAGGGAATGAGGAGCAGGTTGAGAGGATCAGATGCAAACCCCGAGAATGAAAGGAAGGGAGGGAGAATGAGGGGTGGGGGAAGGGAATGAGGTGCAGGAAGGGATGATGAGGCGCAAGCCCTGAAAATGAAAGGCATGAAGGGAGAATGAGGGGTGGGGGAAGGGAATGAGGTGCATGGAGGGATGAAGAGGCGCAAACCCTGAGAATGAAAGGCAGGGAGGGAGAATGAGGGGTGGGGGAAAGGGAATGAGGAGCAAGGTGAGAGGATGAGGCGCAAACCCTGAGAATGAAAGGGAGGGAGAATGAGGGGTGGCGGAAGGGAATGAGGTGCAGGAAGGGAGAATGAGGCGCAACCCCTGAGAATGAAAGGCAGGGAGGGAGAATGAGGGGTGGGGGAAAGGGAATGAGGTGCATGGAGGGATGATGAGGCGCAAACCCTGAGAATGAAAGGCAGGGAGGGAGAATGAGGGGTGGGGGAAAGGGAATGAGTAGCAAGGTGAGAGGATGAGGCGCAAACCCCGAGAATGAAAGGAAGGGAGGGGGAATGTGGGGTGGGGGAAGGGAATGAGGTGCAGGAAGGGAGAATGAGGCGCAAACCCTGAGAATAGAACGGGAGAAAGATAGAGGGGTGGGGGAAAGGGAATGAGGTGCAGGGAGGGATGATGAGGTGCAGCCACCGAGAATGAAAGCAAGGGAGGGAGAATGAGTGGTGGGGGAAAGAGAAAGAGGTGCAGGGATGGATGATGAGGGGCACATACCAAGAATGAAAAGTAGGGAGGGAGAACGATAAAGTGGGGGAGGGAACATGAGGGGCATGGAGGGAGGATGAGGCGCGAACCCTGAGAATGAGAGGAAGGAAGGGAGAATGAGGGATACGGGAATGAGAATGAGGTGCATGGAGTGATGATGAGGCGCAAACACCGAGATAAATGGTTGAGTGGATGGGCATTTGAGTATCAAACAGCCCAAGCATCTGACGGCTGGAAAAAAAAAACCCCAAATTCATTAAAACAGATCCAGAGAAATTTTGTATGAAACCAGGTTGGAGAGAAAGAATGGGTGAAAGGTAGAATGGAATGAGAATCTGAGTAGCTTTCACATGCATGAATCCGAGGGACATGGAAGAGGCCATGGGATTGACCTACGACTAACCTTTAGGCTGTCACAGAAGTGATATTTCAGAAGCGCCTTCCCCGCGATCCGGCACTCGCCACTTTGCGATGATCGGTCTGTGTTGACAGCCTTGGTCGCCACATATTTGTATAAGTCACGAAGGCTTTTCCAGCCGCAAACCTCGCTGAATCGACCGCCGATTTTGTTGAGAATCCGCAGCAACGCCGCTACAGCCCGTTGAGACAACTTCTCATTTAAAACCCATCGACATAGTTCATCTTCAAAGGAGAACGGCGTTGGAGGACTAGGCTCCGCATCCTGTCCCGAGCGCGAAGGCCCCTCAGGCATCGCAGCACGTTCATGAGAAGGAGATGGCGGTTCCTCTGAGTCTGAGCTATCCTACACACGGGCCTATCATCGTCGATTGGAGCTCGTGGACTCATAGGTTCATCGAATGTTTGAGGCAAAAAAGGGTCCTCCCGGGCCATTGGTCGAAAAGTGCTCGGAAGACGTGTGTCGTTCGCATCGTTCCCCGCACCATCGCTGGCGGGTCTGCACGCCGCATTGCTGGCTTGCGCCAGCCTGCATTGGTTGCTCCCGAAGTGTCGTTCAAGCCCTCCTCTACCTACAAATGGGCCTGAACGGCATGCTCTGCAATGATCCGGAGGTAAGTCGTCCATGACAAAACTAAGCCGTTCCTACGACTACGACAGAAAATGTGGCTCTGGAATGGACTAATCTGAGTTGCTGTGATGTCTTCAATGTAAATATGTGATGACTAAACTGAGTTTTTGTGCTCTGGTGTTTTTAGATCGCACTACTTTCAAGGTATTGACGTGCAACACCACTGAATGACTGGTGTTAGGACGGGTCCTTCATTCACATGATTGCACATAACCCTATCCAACCATCTGTTGTTGGTTTTACAACGCACTGTCACAAGAATTCAACGTTCACAACCGCATTCATATGTACAATTTGGAGCCGAGCTTTGTGGGAAAATGCGCGCCTCGATGTCTAATGTGTTGAAATCGTGATTTGGAGATTGACGCGACCCGATAACGGTACTGTTTGATTTTCGCTGCCCTTTTCGATTGGCTGCCGTTCCGTCGCGACCAACGGGAAGTCCTCGCTGGCTAGCGAGACCCTTTGGAAAATTCACCAACGAGTCAATAGAAGTCATTCAGTAGTATGCGAAATCGAGTCGCGCCAAAATCCAACCGCCGACAACGCAATCAGCAGTACCGCAATAGGCGCGTCGCTAGACAATTTTGGAATGGTCAGAAATGCCAATTCGACTGCCTGCACTTAAAACGTCATTAAAAGCCAGGTCACGAGCGCAATTTAGCAAAGGAAAATATATGAACCAGTACCACGAAATAATACTGTTCCTCCTCAGTGTGAACCCTAAACGGCCATATCAGTACACGAATCGTGTGCCAATTACACAAAATTCCAACGTTTAAAAATTTACATGTCTTAACCATAAGAGAAATGCAGGACAAAATACAGAGTGAATAACAAACACAAGAGATATAGCATTTCTCCCCTAACAAAGCAGCTAATATGAAATGTAACATAGACGATCGTAACCGTTGAATCAATGCTACGGAGAATTGAGACACCCCCCCTACATCACCAGGTCGTTTACGTGCTCCAGGCAGATTCGAGCCGAATTGTTTCCCGCCGAGCAACTAGCATCGTCGATCCGAGAGGATCTAACGTCCAACAACATTCCTGATATCATATCCCCCAGGTCGTTTATGTGCTCCTCGCGACAATGCCCCACTCATTGCGGCGCGACATTCTTCATGAATCACATTCGCGATCCTGACCGTTGCACAAATCGCTTGGAATTTCGTCCGTCGATCAAGCGTCTGCAAATTCCATGAAGCAGCCGAACACATTCTCTTCAGCACGGAATAGGAAGAACAGGGTTGAAATGAGTCGCAAAATTGCCAAGTTGCCCTCACAAACTGGCAAAGCATGTAAACAACACTGTATGACTCTCGGAAACCATCGGCAAAAGAGCCTCAGTAGACTAGAGCATGTACAACAGGCTCAGATTTTTGCGATGGCCGACGGGAGAGGAAAGCGACGGGAGAGAAGAAGGGCGGCGGGAGAGAGAGGCGACGGGAGAGTAGGAAGGGCGACGGGAGAGAAAGGCGACGGGAGAGAAGGGCGACAGGAGAGAAGGAAGGGCGGCGGGAGAGGAAAGTGTCAGAATGTTGTATTTGTCTAGCCTGCAGTGGGGTACTCTATAGCGAGTACAGCCCAATCTAGGGTTTCCTATATGTACTCAACTGCTTGCTAGTGCATCCACTCCTTTCTTCATTCTTACTTTCTACTGCTAATTCTAACATGGTATCAGAGCGAAGGTCTCGGGTTCGAATCCCAGTGTGTGCACTTCGGGCATCCCAGTGCGGGGGGGTGTCAGAGGTCCACTGGTGATCCCCGATTGATCCTAGGGAAGGGTTACAGGCACGTTGGCCTGGGGGGTTATGCGCGCACTTACCCGCTACACAAAAAAGCCCTTTTATCCCAATGGTCTAGTGGTTGGGATTCTAACATGCTATCAGAGCAGGTCGATCCCCTTGGGTCGATCCTGTGGGTGGGCCCACCACCTAACGCTTCCGCTGCTCTACTTCCTGTCGTGCGCCTCGGGCGCGCGGCGACTTCTGGCGCCGACCGCCTCGTGGCGCGCGGCGGTTTTCTGCATGGCGCCCCCCCCCCCCCCCCCCCCCGTCGACCGTCGCGTCGCCCCCGGGGACCAGCGCGCGCCCCCCGTCGACCCTCGCGTCGCCTCAGGGGACCCGCGCGCACCCCCCCACCGTCGGATCGCGCGCTGCCCCGCTGGACCCGCGCGATGCCCTGCGGGATCCGCGCGCTGCCCCCCCGTCGACCCTCGCGTCGCCCCCGGGGACCCGCGCGCTGCCCCGCTGGACCCGCGCGCCGCCCCTGGAACCGCGCACGACCCCCGCTGCCCCGTCGCGGCGCCTTGGGGAGCCGCGCGCGGCCCCCCCCGCTGTCCCATGGTGGCGCCCTGGGGGCCGTGCGCCGTCCCCCCGAGCCGTCCCCCGCGCTCGTGCCCCGTGCCACCCGTTTTAGGGTTTGGGGGTGGCGAGTGCGGGGGTGGCGGTTCTGGGGGTGACGGGTGTGTGAACCGTCCCCTACTCCTCCTCCTCCTCCGTCTCCCACTGCTGCAGCTGCCGCTGAGGGGGGTGGGTGTGTGGGAGCCGAGGGTTTAGGGTTTAAGGGGGGTGCCGTGGGAGTGGAGCTAGGGTTTCAGCAGGGGGTGTGTGAGAGGGGTGTGGGACGGTCGGGGGAGGTTGAGCGGAGGCTGCTGTCTTGTCGTCCGCAGCGCCTGTAGTCCGGGGCGCACTGTCCTGGTAGCCCAGAGAGTCTGCTGCGCCTGTCGCCCAAGAGGTCCGTTGCTCCTGTAGCTCCTCGTAGCCCGTGAACCAGTTACTCCAGTAGTCCGGGGCGCACTGTCCCGGTAGCCACTGTGCCAGCAGCTCCTGTTGCCCGTGTGTCTGCAGCTTCAGCCGCCGTCTCTCATCTTCTCTCCTCTCACAGTCCCTCCTCCTCCTCACTTGCCCGCTGTGATTACCTCTAGCTTTGCTTCTTATTGTGAACTCCTGCTATACCTGCTCATTGTGCTGATTACACCCCACTTTGGCTATGGGGGTGTGTCAGAATGTTGTATTTGTCTAGCCTGCAGTGGGGTACTCTATAGCGAGTACAGCCCAATCTAGGGTTTCCTATATGTACTCAACTGCTTGCTAGTGCATCCACTCCTTTCTTCATTCTTACTTTCTACTGCTAATTCTAACAGAAAGGCGACGGGAGAGGAAAGGCGACGGGAGAGAAAGGCGACGGGAGGGAAGGAAGGGCGACGGGAGAGAGAAAGGGCGACGGGAGAGAAAGGCGACGGTAGGAAGGAAAGGCAACAGGAGAGGAAAGCGACGGGAGAGAAGAAGGGCGACGGAAGAGAATGGCGATGGGAGAATAGGAAGGGCGACGGGAGAGAAAGGCGACGTGAAAGAAGGGCGATGGGAGAGAAGGAAGGGCGGCGGGAGAGGAAAGGCGACGGGAGAGGAAAGGCGACGGGAGAGGAGGGGCGACGGGAGAGAAGACGGGTGACGGGAGAGAAAGGCGTGCGGGATGGGATGGTAGCAATAGCGAGGCGACGGGATGGGAGGGAAGAGATAGCGAGGCGATAGTATTACAAGTGCGATGTCTCGCTATGAAGCGATGCGCTAAGTGAAGCCTTCGCTTATTCCAACACTCCCCTTCATTCATGAGGGTGAGCCATGTGAGATTTCTTCGAGATCCCGCAGAGGTCGGCGCAATGCTGGAACTTTTAATGTGGCAGTTCTTCGTCAGGAAATCAACTGCCATGTCACCAGTTGGGCAGTACGTGAGTTGGACTTTGCCCTTGTCGATCTCGTCCTTGACGAAGAAGTAACGGAGTGCGATGTTTTCATGTGGTTCACGAAGGCGGGCTTGTTCGCGATCTTGATCGCGCTCTGATTGTCGGAGAGTAACGTGAAGTGCCCGTTCATCGCCACTTTTCTTCCTGCAGGAGCTCCATCAGGTACATCCCTTTGCGAACAGCTGTGCTGGCAGCGATGAACTCAACTTCGGATGACAAAAGGGCGATGAATTCCTGCTTCTGGGAGTTCCAAGAGATGAGTCCAGTAGGTTGGAGTTGAAAAATGAAGCCTGTGTGGGAGATTCTGCTGTTTAAGTCTCCCGCATGGTCCGAAACTACGTAGCTGTTAAGTTAGCCACGTAGGTGAGCCCGACGTCTGGAGTAGAGATGAGGTACTGGAGCGCTCGGCGTAGATCTAGGAAATT